GGAGTGTACATTGACCTTCCAGTTACAGTTGACTGAAGATATACTTCCGACTATCATATATCCTTCCATGTATTTAAATAGCCAATTTTACTGATTTATAACACTCACTGCACTTTACAGCAGCTTTGTATAACCCATCCCTCCACGATTTAAATTATCTTGTACCGTTGACTGGGAATAACCTAACAATTTCGCACACGCAGTTCAAACAGCCCGACGACAATGTAATTCATGTCACAGAAAATTATCGTTCCGAGTCCTTCCAGGTTTATTGCTGCTGGAAAAGTCAACGGAAGCCCAGGTATTTCCTCTGCGCATTTTTTGGCCAATTTTCTTACTTAGTAAGGAAAGACGGGCTTGTGGTATTACATAACTCAATTCTATTGACTCCTGAACCAAATTAAAGATTTTCAGGAACATTAATGCAAACTTTAACTTCCGACCAACACGACGGCCTTGCGAAATTGTGACGTGTGACAGACGCAGGAATTGATGGATGACTACTGTATCATTGTATGCGCATCACAGTTCTTGCTAGCCTTAGGATATAGGCTGAAGCATTCCAAGGTGAGTGTCATAAGGTCTTCCTAGAACTTTTTAGAGTAAGATCGAGATAAATTGACAATGTTTTGGGGGATGTAATGCCATGTTCACTGCCAAAGTTTCGGAGAAACATAGTGTCTCCATCTTTCGCCCTACAGCCCTTCAACAGCACAATCCAGAAGATTAACATCTTCGTTGTCGTGAGAATCTTTGTTTTTATCAAAATGTTAGGACTCTTTGTGGAAGGCCTATTTTTACTAAAATTCAGATGTCAACCAGAAAACACGTTCTCAAATAACAGATGTTGAAATTGACACTCTGACAAGTTTCACTTTGCAATTTGCGGGGGAATCTTCAAGTCACAACTGAGGTGTAAACATGGTCTACATTTCTATGTCCCCTAACTTTGTTGACGAAGAAACAAATCCATGCCGGGAATCCAATCCATTAGCAAGAGGACACTAACGAATCACGGAATGTTCTCAGTCAGGCAAATGATGATGCACTGCTTTCAAATGGGACCTGCAGGAAGAACCAGTAGAGAAATGTGGTACATGAACTGTTACAGCCAATATACTGTTAAAATATTCAGCAACTGGACTACATCCTATTTCAAGGAACTAGAAATTGATATTGTTCCTTCGATTCATGGAAATTGTCGCAACAATGACTGATTTGGGACAAGGTTCGTTCATGGATAGCATGATTACGATATGCTCCATTCTTGTCTCAATTATTCTCATCGGAAGCAATTCATATTATGTTGACACTGACTTATATTTTTTTTCAGTTTCTAGCAATAACTTGTAACTTCTTTTATCAGCAGTAGGCTATGGAATCAACATAAGGCCTATAACCTTTAGGCCTAAAGTAACAAGTACTGTACAATCAATTAAATATTTTAAATACAAGAAGAGAAACGATATTTTACTCACGACCCCAATAAGTCATACGAGCAAAGCATCTCTTTCCACAGATAGTATTATTTTATTGTACTGTACATTCTAGCCCAAGGATTCTCAACACCCGGGCCGCATTCATTTTTTGTAATACTGTAACACTCTGTGTGCTGAAAAATAGTTACCTGTTACATGTTTGCACATGTCTTCTTAATGTCAGCATGTAGCAGAAACTACCGCTGTAAGTAACTATTTAGCTGAATGAAGATCGTCAAATCAAGAACTAGAACGAATATTGGGGGGATTCACGGATCGCAGTAACATAAATGAAATCTCATATTAAAAGGTAGCTGAAGCAAGAGTAATGGTGTCCTCAAGTCTGGAAAAGGCAGAGAACGCCTGATCCAACCGAACCAAAGAGTACGAATTGACCAATAGCACTTCAATACATTCCGTTCACTGTCGGGTCCCTACAAACCTAGCCCTCTCCACTCAATTGGCTCATTCATCGCCCTGATGACGGAGGCAGTATGACCTCTCAAACGTTGGTAAACATCAACATACCCAGAAGACAGAAATCTTCACTTAAATACAAGATGAATTCAAACTAAAACGTTGAAACGACGTCACGGCTTCGCAAAAACTTTGATTCTCTCTTGTCATGCAGAAATTATGTAAGACGTTTCCATGAGTTTAAGTGTGTTATAACGAATATGGACTAAGCAGGTGGTCTACGGTCTGTGAAAGTGAAAAACAAAACATGTTTTTCCTTCGGATTTTGTGGAATAAAGATTGAAATCATACCAATAACGTTTACAAATACACACAAGTGAAATCACTAGAATACAAATCGTAAGCCACTGTACTGCATTTGTCTACATTCTTCTCATTTCATAATTCATGCATCAGTCAGCCTCACATTCGACTGCCTACAACCGGCTCTATCCAACCTATGTAAATAGTTGGAAAAGCGTCGTTAAATAAACTAACAAGTAACAAAAAACGCACTTTTAAATGACGTGGGAATCCAACTGGTACTTCAGACTCGAATGGCCAAATGTTTTCTAAAGAAATGTTGCAGATATCCTTGGTAGATTCCTGTTACCAGTCGTGCACATGTAAATAAAGAATTCTGGGAAAATCTCAGTTTGTTAAAAGAACACAGATTGAACAAGGTCACAGCAAGTGTGGAACAAGTTGTGCTCTCGGCCTTCGATATACAACATTCACATTCATTAGCTTACCTCTGTCGTGGAAGGTTACGTTCTGCCGTTTCTTCTCAAGTAAACAACGCGGACATCACAGCTCTCATTCGGACATCTTGAAACACAGATTATGTCCTGAAACTCGTCCTTCGTACTCGCAAAGAACGTCACACATTTAGAAGTTGCCTGCAATGAGGCTGACCGCGTCTAGGGTTGTGCTTGTTAAAGCAAAGACTGGCAAGATGTATCGATATATGGATGTACGTGTATCGATATTTTGATACTGTATTTGAGGAGGCCATGGACCGAATACGGACCGGAGAGCCATAGAAACAGAAGAGTATCGCCTGTATAATTTGATATTTTCTGTGTCGATAAGTAGCCAAAAATTAACAAGGGCCTTGCGCGAACCCCTCCGAGTTCCCCTGCAGCAACTCGTGGATGTGTCTGTCCTATAGAACCTTCACGAACGACGCAATCATGGCGGTATAACCATTACATCTCGCGTGATGGAGTAGAATGCTTCTGTAGAAGAATATAGTCGTTCACTCGGTCAAGTAGTCCCTGCCTTTTATGGAGTCCAAAAGATGATTATATCCATACAAACCCACCATTAAACTCTTTCCTGAGCCACACAAATCCAAGTGAGGCAGTTCACATATTTGTAACAATTTAAAAAAAATTAATATTAGCAGCTGAAACGCTAGTCACTCACCATCTTCAGTGCTGCCCACTCTAGGTACCTGTAACTACTGATGTATGTGGCAACCTTTGGCTGCACCATTTAACAGCGATGCTGGTAAGCAAAGACAACTTTCAAGGTTGGTTGTGGTTACGATATTGTAGCTGGATGTTCAGTGAATCTACTACTGTGTGCTTCACAAATATAATTCCTATAATATCTTCTTAGAAACACTAGAATATGCGGAGTCCCATCTCAAATTACACAAAAGAGGGAAGTTATTTTGCATGTTCTTTTAATTCTGGACATCCACTTGACCTTTCTCATCCTCCACTTAGAAAACCATTACACCACATAAAATAATATCCTTCTTGAAAGTAAAGTTGTCCGTGTGTTTATTTACCATGCCATGAGGATACAGGTGTGGAGATAAAGCTCACACTTTATTAACATTACCACTAGACCGAGGACTGAAGTCAGTCTGGAAGTAGTGATAAAGAGACAAATTTATTCCACTGTCAGGGGCAGAATAGTTGTCATTCAGCCTGTAGTCAGGCAGTTTATTGAAAGGTATCCAATGTCACTATTTATCTCAAAGTACGTAATTTTAACAGATATAAAATACTTTCTTTAAAAGTAAACAGTTCCTTGAGTATCATTACGTTATGCTAATTTTGTAAAAAATATCAGCGGCACACATTAATTCATTGGTTAAGGTTGTTGCACCACAGAATCTGGTAGAAGTTTACTGAAGTTTCAGAGGTGCTCCTACTTCCACCTTCGTATGATAATCTGATCATCTGACGATGGAGCCAGCAAGCACCTCTAAAACGTCAGTAAACTTCTACCAGATTACGTAGAACAACAACCCAGATGATAGTTAAACATCTTCATAAAAACTCCCATGAGAACCTCACATCTCACAACTGGATAGAAGGCTATTGATTTGAACAATACGTGTGTATGATGATAAGTTTAATATTTGATAAACAGTTACAAAATCATGTTATTTCATATGGGTTGCAGGTATGAGTTACATCTGTGTATGAACAAATTCATTTACCTTATATCTCTTCCATTGTTTCGCATAACACTGTAACGACTTACCACGGTAGACCAGTTTTACGACACAAAAATAAATATAATACAGCGCAGAAGTCCGAACAGAAGCAGGTAACTTAAAGGGGATAGATCAAAAGGCTCCTACCAAACAAATAACATACTTTACACTGTGAACTCTTCATAACTTGTGAATGCTATATTTCATTAACAATAATCATAATCAAAACAGATGGGAGATGGCAGAATGTGCATTCGTTATAATACGTAACACGCGTATTATTAAACTTTAATAATCTAGCCCAGTGTTTCCTCAAGGATAATTTTTTTCGGACCACTTAAAGATTTCCCGAGGATCTTGGAGGGTAAACCTTGCTGTTTGACAACTGTAAAGCGCTGTGATGTAGTTGCTAAAGATAAGGATAAAAAGTTGATTTCGTCCACACGTGTCTTGACACTTTTTTATTGTTCATTAAAGTTCTTTCTTAAGTTCCTTGTAATCCATGTTCTGACGTTGTACACACCGGACAAATCCCCGATTAAATGAAAGAGACGAGAAACAGAAAGAGAAAAGAAGTGGAGGGAGAAGACAGCGGAGGATTAAAAACGAAAACAGAAGAGTGGGAGGAATAAGATATAAAAAAGAAAAACAAGACGTAAAAGACGAATGTAGGGATAAATATTGATATTAATAGTCACTAAATGTGAATAGTTTTAATAAAACTATTATTCTGATGTAATTATATTGTAATGAACGTAATTTAGTTGCACAAAATTGCAAATGCTTTTACCAGTAATATTGGTGCAGTGGAAAATACCCTGTCCAACACAGTAAGTAAAATTAAATTATCACATACATTTTTGCCTCAACCGATTTCAGATAAGCATCTTATAACAATCACTAACCCAGGGCATTACGCCCAAGCTGGCAACAACGAAATATAAGAAGCTCATCCAGAAGTACGTATCTGACTATGCAAGGTCGAATGCACTGGGCACATTGTGGCGTAATAAATAATTCACTAGATTTTCATAAATTGAACGCTTTAAATATCCACATTATTGTTTTCCGTTTAACGTATCAATCCAGAACATTAAGAAAACAAGTTTTACAGGCGATAAACAACGTTACCTTTTAACATTTCAGTCTACGATTCATTGTTGTTGAAGTACCATCACAGTGAATCTGAGAGCGAATGTTTTGCTGATTCTCTTACGGTCTTCCACGCACAGCCACTGCCAGTTAATGCGCAGACTGACCAGCTCGGATGAACCCATTGTTTTACCGCATACGACATTGCTTATAATCACCAGTATACAGACAGCGTCTCCTGCAAGAACGTAAGCTGGTGACTGACTGGTAAGCCATCTCAACTAGCGTATAAAATAAAATGGGACAACACGTGCATGGGTTTATTATTCATCGCTGTGAAAATATCAACAAAACAGTTGACACTTTCTTCGCGTAGATTTTAGCACGAGACTATGAGATCCTTGACAATGGGCTTGTGGAGGTTGTATCTTAAAACGGAAGCATTTATAAAAACAATGTTTACAATTATCAGAGCAGGGCTTTTGATTATGTTTATATATGACTGTTCACCATGCCCAAGGCAAGCATTTTGTTTGGCTAAAGCAAGGAAAATGTGACTTGTAGTCATTTATTTGTGGTTTATTTAGCGAAGTTTTAATTAGCTGGGACTTATAGCGTCGAATGATACCATGTTTAATGAATTTGATACGATATGGGAGGAAGCAGTCATTTCTTAATTTAAGATACAGACCCTGGAGGAACTGAGAAAAAGAAAACACAAAAACGTGAGCCAGGATAACCGATCTCTCCGAACCAAGACTTGAACCCGGCACCTCTCGATTTCGAATCAGGAGTTTTAACCCGTTTTCAAGGAATGAGACAGGAATAATTAAAAGGCATGTCAACCCGTATGTACTTGTTTGTTCTGACCTGCCTGTTTTTGGTTCTCACTCACATACAGTGGATTCAAAAACTCCGCTGTATCGCCTTCAGATTGTTTTTATTGATCCATACAGTGTTTGAATAACAAAGTTGGCCATCATGCTTTTCGTTTTTAAGATCTGCAACCCTGCAACTTCATGCTGAAAAGGCGTTCCATGTGATGACAGATAACGAGCGTGTGAAAGTTTGATGGTCAACGTCACGTGTTATAAAGTAGCTAGGCGAACCTTTTAGCTAACTCATGTGAAGTTAGAAGTAAAATGGGATTTGTATGATACGTTGTTCTGTAACACCAAGCCACGCCTTATTAACCCCTGCACTAGATGGAAACGAGTGGCATGTTTCAGGCTCTGGCCGTTTTTCCACAAAATAAAAGAACCCAAGTACCCCTTGGATAGTAGGCAGGAGGATAGGTCTGGACGATTCTGCGCTGCCGGGATTCGAACACGTTCGTCCAGCCCATAGTCATGGTGACTAAGCGTACTTGTACCTGCACCAAATATTATTTAGTGTTAATGTAGATCACCAAAATAAAATAATTTAAAGTCCTCCTTCACGTCCGGTCTAGTTTGCTCTTAAAAACTGATGGAGTGTCCTACAAAGACACCCATTAAAGGTTCGTTTATTTATGATAAACACCAGGGCCTACTAAATTGTTTTAAGATGTGGGGATTGTCAGAAGACAGGTCAGATCTGAATCAACTCGTTGTACGTATTTGGTACACATAAACCAAACTTTCGTGAATGCAGGAAGTTCGTATACTGCGTAGTAACTGAAATATGATCACACATGACACAACATTCGGAAGCTGTTCTGTTAGATAACCGCCTCAACCATAACAGAATTTGACACAAAATTATAAGAAATCGAAGTACGAGTATGTGCATACAAATTTAAACTGATTGCAACATATGAATGCAAACTACAGTTAACAAATGCACGTCAGTAGGGACGTAAATTTGTTTTGCTCGTTTTAGTGTGTCCTGCGAGGTTTAGATACGTCTTCTTTGTCACGTGATGACTTCTGGGTTTTGATTGGGTATTCACGATGTCTGTTGTTTTATAGGAAGATAGGTCTACTTCTAAATCATAAACGCAGTAGGAGGCAGGTGTACGAAATGACTGAAACGATGGAGGACCATGCTGTAAATGGAGATCGCGTATTTCCGCTTCTTTATCCGCTCAACAAAAGCCTGGCAGAAGAAATCGAGAGATTATTTTCCAAATGGTCATTTTCTCCCGAGTCACCTTACTATGGAACAGCAAAAGGTAAGCACATTCAGGATAATAAAATAACGTTTTGAATTTCACTTGAAACTCTTGTCATATTTCAAAGCAATCTACCGAAGGTTAGTGATGCCAAAGAAATCTCTCTCCATGTAAGATAAGCCGTGTCATTATCAAGAGCAGGAAAGCAGATCCCTCACAGTAATGAATATAGACATCCCTCCCCCATCAAAAACAGAAAGCAGACGTAACTTGATGTCGATTGAGCGGAGTGAGAGTGAGTGTGGGGTATAATTGATAATATCTGTAATGGTTTACATGTGAATGTGAAATAAGTGTTTACGCCAAGATGCGTATGAATAATTACTTTAAACGCATCTGTACTGCTGATATAAACATCGGTGGATATTTTGAGAGTTAACACTACAAAAAAATTGGTGTGTACCAATTATTTAACCACACAGAAAGTTTAATGATTGAGTTGAAATACATATGTGTACTGTCTATTGGACTCGAACATGAGGTTCTTATGACGGTTTTATCGCATTTTTGGGGTTGTAAGCCTAACGTCGTGTGGCTTGTCGGAAGATACTGTCGATTCAGGGGAACATGTCTCCATCTTCACGCCCCCCTCCCCATCATTTTTCTAAACGTAACCTTAAGTAAACTGATAAGACGTAGCCTAGTCCAACTTAACCTAACCGGCGTTTGAAAGGAGAATTATAAAAAGTATGAATTCGGCCAACCTTACCTTATTGAATTTTAACTTTCTTGTTTCATGCAAATAAATTAATCTTCCAGGCCCTCCATTTTCATTCCGCAAGTGCTCTGATACTGCTCGTAAACATTAACATTCAAAGAACATTGGAATCTCGGACCTGCCGCCATGTTGTGGGATTATGCACCATCTGATTTTCAAAACGGAAGTGCATTCTTAATGTTGCGAATAATATGTACACTACGTTCCATCAGCACAACTGGACTTTTGATCCAGGTCTCTGGTTCGATCTGTGAAAATGTTAATATCCCCCACCCAAATAGAACAGTATCCTCAGAATTCTTAGTTACACTGATTTAACTGACCTTGACATGTCTTTAGTTTCCAATAATGCGGAGAATCTACAAACAGGATAAAATACAAGCAGGTTTGCCAGTAATGGGAAACATTTACCAAGTTCATATGAGTCAGCTGGCATAGTGCCTATTTTTGATCCAGAATGGTATCAATTAATTAAAATAATGAGATTTAGTTGTAACTGCTGTTCCTGTAAATCATTAACAGACCTTCTGATCATCTTTATGCTGACATGTTTAATAATTTCTTAAATATGTTATATTTTTCCAGATGATGTGATGACAGAATTCCGTTTAAATGGACAAGATTCAGAATACTGCCCTGAATTTATCCCAGATAACAAATCTTTATATGTGTCAAACTTCCTGGATTCCAACAGGATGATCAATTTTGCTACTGCCTGTACATCTGCTCCTACCACACGTTCCAAAAAGCGGACAAAGAGGCAAATCCAAGAATGTGTATTTTGTAAAAATAATGGCGAACAAGAAATGTATTACAAACAGCACATATTAAAAGATCCAGAGGGACGGGTGGTCTGCCCCATCCTGCGAGCCTACACTTGTCCTATATGTAATGCTAAAGGAGATAATGCACATACTATTAAGTATTGTCCAAAGAACAGTAATTCTGACTCTGTAACCACAATGACCACTTTGAAAACCCATCGCACTTCAACAGGCCACAGGCGAAACAAGAGCATTTCTTCTGCTTAAGCAGCACAGAGATTCACATATCTCATGCTTAGATGTAAAATTATAAATCTCAAAGAATATTTTTCACGTTCTTCAAATTATTCTTTGATTTTTTTTTCTGTATTGTTTTACACCTGGATTTCTGTCTTTTACTGGTGAACATATATTTCAAGTGAGGATATTTATTTTAGAAGTATGAGTATAAGGGTTATGTTGATTATATATTAAATGCAAATATTTGTAATTTATAATATGCTGACCAAGTGTCTGTTACTCTTTTACAAGATCATTGATCATTCATTACTTTACTTTATTCTGCCCATTATATTCAAACTGAAGTCGTTTGGCATCTATATTGCAGAATTCACGGCACATGATGTGTCATAAATTTATTATTTATAAGTTTTGACAAGATAATCATTTATGACATCTGCATTATTGGTCATTCATGATACCATCATTATTTAAATTTGAAATGTTTTAAGTATGGCATAAAATTCAGGAGAAAATGTACTGCCACTGTTCTATTTACAATATGAATTAAAGGGAATCTAACTGAATATTGGTCAACTCTTTCAAAGCTCACTGGTCACTCAGTAATTAGTTTATTGGATGTAGGCCTATATGAACATGAGAGAAAAGGTCTGCCTTGTATTTTCATTTCCTGCAAGAAATTAGTTTGGATACTGGCTATATTTTCTATTCATAAAACAAAATTAACTTTTTTACTGTACTCAAAATAAAAGCAGCCACATATTGTTCTTACTCGTAGGTACTCGAATGATTGGAAGACTATTTTCTTAGAAATCAAATTGGCAGTTTCTCATAAAAATATACTGAGTAACTAATAGGCACATTTAATGGTTTTCCGCAAGTAGTTATTTTATTTAAAATGGTGATATCCAAGAGTACAAAATAAATTTGTATTGTGATTGTTTTAAAGCAACAATTCCATCCAATTGTGATATCAAACAATGTCACCATACTAATTATGATTACTGAGCAATTTCTGTGCCAAGTATAAGGTTAGATTTATTTTGTTGTGCTTAATTATATGTTGACCTAGCATGAAACATATGTATCTTGAAGTTTCTTCTTTGTGTTGCTGGTAGAAATTCACAGTTAATAGGAAATTTGTAAGATTTTTAAATGTTACAATATTTTTAGACAAACAATGATTCTTTCGGTCTGAGAATATGATTTTAATGACAATTTTTGCTTTTCCTATTCTAGTTATTTGAAATCTTTGCTAAACATCACTGAAATGTGTAATGTAATGATTCATTGAGTATGTATGAAAACTGTTTCTCAAACATTGAGCTGCACATCACCCTAAGTTATACTTTAAGTATTAATTATTTACACTTTACAGTGAAATATTTTACTGTACTCCAAGTTGTTTAATAGAAAGACTTGATTAGAAGACTGATGATAATTTTGTGATATACAGTACAGAGTGGCACATCCGAGTGGAGGGTTATGGGACCAACACTGTGAAGAGTTGTTTTTGCCAACACCACATGGATTTTAAGACTTTATTTATAAGTACAAGCTCGCTCTTCTACCTCACTTTGGGTGTGCTACTCTTAATAATTGTAACGTACAGTAATTTTGTGTTTGTCGTAGATTGTTTTGATACTCAGTTAATTTATGATGTATGAACAGTTTGTTAATAAAATTGAGTTCACTTCTAAGTCCGAGTTGCATAATATTGCTTTCAACCTCCTCTGTGCCAACAGTATTTCTTCCAAACAATTTGAACATTAAGTTGTCTCTGTGTCTAAGCACCATACCAGGAGGTGTGAAAATATAGCCCTCAAAATCTCATTTGACTTGTCAGCTCCTCATTCTGGCAACCTTTATCCATTTGTTACTAACAACAGTATGAACATACCTGCACATTTGTAGTTCTCAATCGTTACACCTATTTCCTATTCAAGACTCTGGGACCAACTGCTCTTAATCTGAAAAACTAGGAAGGAAGTTTACACGTCAAATTAACTATGATATTGCTTTTGGATTTCAGGTTCAGATAGCATGGCTAGATGATGGTGCCATTAATAAATGTAAAACAAAGAAAGTAAATAATCCACAAAATCAAATTTTGATAATACACAATCCATTTTTCCCCAGCTTTAAAATTAGCCTGGCAGTTTTCATAAATTTGTTGTTTTATAAAAGTTCTATGGAGAGACCAGGAAGAAATTAGTGAAGTTTCTATTTAATACATGCCATGAAAGTTACAAAATTCATGTTAATTCACTGGCTTTGTAACTTCATTAAACAATCGCCTTTTACTCGATAACCCTGACGTTACATCTGAGAGCCAGATTACTGTGAAATCAAACATGGTTCTAACAACTGTCAAACACAATATGAATTTATTTCTTGTGCACAACCATCAACAAATTATGACCCCATTTGTATTTACAAGTCACAATAAATGAAACCCACACTGGAATTTTGGAATGTGGATATTGATAAAATTATATGTCCTGGATTATATGAAACACAATAGTATGTTCTTCAATTACATAATTTTGTTTCTGGAAGTAGTTGCAACAAACTTTTATAAGTCAGACTTCTTTATAATTATAAATTAAATCAGGTTTACGGTAACTCTAAAACATATGGGTATGTACTCCTGGCTTTTTTCTTTACCTTGAATCACTTATTAGATTTTCAGTTATTCAAAAAATGGTTACATAATTCAATATGTCTTACAGTAATCCAATAGACTTTTATCAAAGATGACATGCAAGTAACTTGGCTTTGAAAAGGATGGCAAGTCTTTATCTCAGAATAAGGAAATTCAGTATTTATTCCCAAATATCTTAAAAGTAGTCAGTATATTACATTGAAGTGCAAACGGATGAAAGAAATGGTTTAATAGCAAGAATGTAGAGAATCAATTAACAGACACAAGACATGGCGTAAGGTACAAACTGACAATTCAAGGAAGGTACGTGGGTAAAGGAAAGAGGAATAAATGTACCTGTGAACTATATGACGTAGTGCTTCTTTTATGTCAGAACTTGTAAAACGTTATGTGCTAAAGATGGAATTAGGGATGTTTCCCAACACTGCCTATTTAAGAAATTCAAAATACAGGCAGCACATAAAAACCATGCAAAGTTACAAATGAAAATGTGAGTTTTTATAATAAATATGATTACAGAGAAACCTGTAGGCTCTATAACTCAAATTCTCCATTTCATGTCAGTATCATTCATGAAAAACCTTTAATTTTGAATAAATTCCTTTTAAGATTCACATTTAAAACATCAGTCTTGGCAAGAAATAACTTCACTTTTACAACCTCAGGACTGTTACAATACATAATAATTTTTCATTTTCCACATCTTACTTCATCAATTTAACTTTTAAAAGAAAATTATGTGGCAACATTAGTGGGGTGGAAGAATACCTCTAAGAATAGAGTTTTTCAAAGGATTACTAGTATTATATTGCAGAGTTTTCAATACTCTAAATACTTAAGAGATTGTGTACGGCACAACGCGGCTGATTTCGGAAACTTAAGTCTCACAATAAACAATTTGCAAATAGGAACACTGTTACATTACCATTACTTTCAATACAGCACCACTTTAGTTACAATTAGTACTGCAGACAAGTAACTCGGAAGTGCAAGTGTGCACATGCAGACTAACGCTATGAGACAACCAACTTTTGTTTGAACCATATATAACACCTTGCAATATTACTGGGAGTCTGTAAATAATCAAGTATTTAGTTTCGTGGATTCATGTCATACCTTCATACACTGATTTATACTTTTAGATTAAAACGACCTACTGTACCTGTAAATGTGTAAAATATGTGTTCTTAAGAAAAATCTGATCCTTGAACAAAGCCTTCTGCACAATTAATTTATTTTCTGTGTCCCTAGAGACTTTGAGTAATTTTTCTACAGGCTTCTTATAAATATGATGGTCTGGGCAACAAACACGGCACTGCCATCGACTATAAAAGAGCACTGCAAATCATATCATGTTTCAAAAACAGCACTTTAAGAAATATGCAGAAGCAATGGAATTAGTCACATTATGTGGCAGGGTACAATCAGTATAAATAAATGCACTATTTAAACAGCTGCTTTTCTTGTTCTTGTATTGTCACACTGCAATGGGAGAGCAGGTAGGCCAGGCGGTCGTTGCTTTTGTCGCCTGGCCAGCCTGCGCCAATAGCACGAGCTTACAATGGGGAATCAACCAAATGACCTGGACAAGAGAAGAGACGACACACACAACTACTGACACATCCACAGTTGGAAATGAAACCTTGTGAAAAATACTGAAGTCCCAATACAATATAAGATTTTGTGTTTTTATATATAACTTTCATTCCAACACCAACACAAAGATTGCTGTCACACAAGATGTGTATTTAAAACAATTTGCAAAGAAAATATTACAATCACTCCACTTTCATTCAAGTTATAAGTTTCATTTAAAATACATCCTGACAGATGTATAAATTATATATATATATATATTTATATATGGAACAATAATAGTATTTCAGATGGACATCACTCATGTATAGTCTAAAACCTTTACTATAGAACAATTGGTTCCATTTCTGTATTTTTTGTTTCGTTTTTTACTTTTTGGAATCGAAGGTTTGGAATTAGTGCTGCGCATCTGCAGATAGTATGCAATTTGCAAAAAGACATGAACATATATTAAAAAAGTTTGCTTTGTCATTTTGGTCAATCCACAACATTTGATACTGGGGGAAGGATGATGGCTTTACTCTATGGGTATCTCTTGTCAGAAAGTTTAAAAACACTCACATTCTAGTACAACAAACAAGTAGTCCTTTTTGTCATTCTTCACACTCTACAGCCCACCCCTGAAACATTCACTTTGATGGTACAGTATGTGGACTTCTCAAAACCCCTTCACATTTGCACTTACTCCCACATGTAAATACCATTAGTTCAAGGCTTCATTAACTCTTGTTTTAATATTATTTCATACAGTACCACTAGCTATATCATATTTGCACTTCGAAGTACTTTCATGTTAAGTACTTTCAGTATGATATGAGTTCCAGTTATGTCTGAAGAAATCTTTTGAAACTAAGGTACTCATTAGGTGGCCTACGCATTACTTCAACAACCAACAGAATCACAGAGCAGAGATCAATTACAAAAGGAAACTCCTCAGATACGCACTTCAGTGATAGCTCAGTGTTTTCAGCATGTGCCAAATGCCTATGCCATAATTTATTCTCGTGGAACATAAGAAACAACTGAAATCATACTGTAATAAAAGGTAAAAACATTACGTACCTACACTATCATGTCTTTATGAAAACAAGCGCAAGATAATCTCACTTAATTTCAACTTGAACTTGATACCAACAACTTAAAGACTCGTTTTATAATTCTGTGTTTTAAGGAAATTAAAAGAACTCTCTTGGGACAGGATTTTAATGCCCAATATTTATAAGAAATACCTGGTTAAAATTATACTCATCACATTAAAAAAGGCTAAGAGAATCTACAATGAAAATGAACTGCCATGAAGACCTTAAGTATCATACATTGGAAGACTTTTAAATACAGAAGTTCTGCGAAATGGCAAACTAGATTTATCAAAGACAACACGCAACTGGCGCAAACAGGAAGAAGAAAGAACTTACTATATATCAATATGGAACAAAATAAGAAGTCTCAGATGATTAGAACTGATAACTGCAAAGCAACAACACTTTATACTTTTATAAAGAACTGAGAGACCAAGTAGAAATGTTATTATTTAAGCCCAGTTGAAACTTATAATGTGTAATAATGAGATAATCATATGATCAATTTCCAATTTAAGACTTATGAACCATCAGAAAAAAAGACAATACACAAGACAACACTAACTAGAAGAAGATGATCTTAGATCTTAGAAGAGAGAAACTTGTACAAAGCAATTTTCAGAGCAATGCAGACATTTAGCGGCAGCACAGAGTTAAGACACCACACCATGGCAGAAAATGTTCTTTTAAAATCTGAATTTGGACAGAGACCTAGAAGTAAAATTTACACACAGGACTAGAAAACATTAGAACATCACTTCAAATGCATGGCAGATGGAATCACAAGGACCAACACATTCTATATTGCCTGGTAATATAATATCTTGGAAATTGTTCAGTGGACACAAGAAAAGGAGAGAGATATCTGGCAAGTCTAACAGAACCATTCCCTACAATGCAATGATTTAAGTTATTATTTCACTATTAAACACTAGATGTCATAAATTAATCTTAATGGAATGAAATAATAGTGACTTCTGCTGACGGTAAATGTGGAACTGAATAGATATGTCAACTGTTGTTAAGATACCAATCCATACAAGACTGACGACAGTTCACTTTACTAGTATCACCACAAACAAGTAGAACATTAGTGAACTGTGACGTAACAAGATTTTAAATAAGCCTTCTAATCTCCTTACTGTGAACAAAGAACTGCTATTATGAATATGTATATAAAATTCTGGAAATCAGTCCTGTATGAATATTGTATTTCCACAAAACTAAGACCATCTATTACCCATTATGCAGTTGTAGTTTATGGAAAATATTTCATATAGGGCATTTAGTCTCATCAATGGATGACACAGATTACAGTGACCAGAAATACTATCTTTTCTTAGAAAGTTACATTTATATAGGAATTGTTCTGATACCCTCAAGAAAGGTTCTTGGCATGGCCAGAGGATTTTGAATTTTGTTGGCAAATTATTAAAATTACTGTATTAATTTCATTCAGTAAAGTACAACACACCACACAATTTACAAAGAAATTAAATACTAAGTAGGATTTAAGGTTTTCACGGTGGTGAGTCCAAACGGCTGTCTTCTGGGTTGTAGTCTGGACTACATGGCACTACAACCCAAATACAGCCATCTTCAAATTAAATAGGTTTGTATTTGAAGATGGAAGGGGGCAGAAAGTTGAAGTCACTGTGCAGAAATAGTATGAGGTTTTAGAGTATTTCAATTTAGTTCATAAATATTTAAGAAAAGAGTGAATGCAATGAAACAGAAACTAAAGTATTGCTTTATGTGGTTTTAAACCCATTATTGATTGTTCTATTCATGGTAACACAGACAGTTTAGTCAATAACTGGATTTTGATTGCAAAACTGAATTATTTTATGAGAAAGCCAGCACATTCTACAGTACTTCCCCTCTGAAACAATACATTAATTCTATTGTATATGACATAACTTCCTAATATGAACCAAAGACATACTGCTGCACTAGCCTGTCAACCGAATATTTAAAAAAAATCATAAAAACTGAAACGCTTAAAATATTGAAAGACAGGCAAAGGAAACAACAGATAAAAATCTCTGGAAGATCACATTTAAGAAAGCTACAGTTGCTTAACAAATGACCTAGAGAGTTTTATTTAATCACAGAAGCACTTTTGAAATAACAGTGGGACCCATATGATACATCCTTCCACACAATTTATCATTTTTAATTGATACTGAATCATGGAATGTAATAAGTAATATTTATGTTCTAATTTATATATAACATTCATTATATACAGCAAGGTATGCAAAAAAGGAAGTTCTACCCTCTACTCAGAAATCCTGTATAATAATAACAGGATTTCTACATTTTAAATTACATATTCAAGTGGGCCCCTCATAATATGTAATGTCATTATATAAAATTTATACATATCATTAAGTGTTACACACGTCACAAACAAGGGCATTTGTCGTGAATCACGCAAAAGACATTTTAATGAGAAGGAAAAGGGATGTTGCACAGTTAAATGGAACAAAAGGAACACATGTCGGTCAATAGAGATGCCAATATTTATAGCCAACAAATGAAATCTTATTAGAGCTGCATCATTATTATTATTGCAATGGGGTGAGACCATGTCCCTGCAAAACTGCACCTGCTAATGCGCCCACTGTCCATCTCTCCCCAGATAATACATGGTGGTATGATGATAAATGGGAAGAGTCAAAGGACAAAACCTGTCCCAGTGCATAACCGTTCAAAATAAATCTCACGTGGACTGCCCTGGAAATAAATCAGGGCTTCTGCAACAAGAAGCAAGTGACTAAATGCCTGTGTTATGCAAAGCCTAAAGCTTCATCACAGAATCATCTCACCTCACTGGATACTGAATAAACACAGCAGGTGATACAGAATTGTTCAACAACCTATGAATGTGCTAACAAAACTATTCTAACAAAGGCAACTACACCTAATTTGTCCGAAATGCATTCATGGAACTAACATTTAAATTAAAATTTTTTACCCCACCGAACCATGAAACCATTCAGTGACTCTAAGTTTGTCATTCTCAGACCCTTCAGTTTCTTACACTGTATGTTTACATTGCTGACTCTATCCTTCTTTGACATCATTATGCTGCCATAAGTCACCTGCCATTCCCGTATCTATTTTAAATAATGTGGTCAGAGCTTCACATGCACTAAAAGAGCGGTGCAGTGGGGAATCCACTAGCAAACCCATGTATTAACTACCTCATTATTGGTCAGTCACTGACATGAACAAGGTGAAAGTTTTTGACATCCTCTGTTTTAAATGTGTTACACTGAAGAATTCATGACCTATGCCCACACTGATTTAAATAAGGAAAAACAGGTTTTTGGTTTGTTCTGAAAACAAACTCCTCGAAGACTGTACTTGGTCTGTTCCCTACATCAAAAAACATGCTTTAGGTCTTCATGAACCAGATTAACTTCATTTAAATATCCACAACACTGAATACATTAATAACTAGCAACTTGTCACTGTGACCAGATGAAATAAATGATAAACCAATCAGTTGACAGAAAATACACACAGTTCTCAATTTTTAAATAATAAACATGATTTTAACAACTAAATTATAGAATTCATCACAAAACTTGAAGAGAATGAAGGAAATACAACATGGCCCAGTACAGAGATGAAAGCAACTCTGTGAGTGAACATGAGAAGGGATGTGCATTGCTAGTTTCTTTGTAGCCACCTGGATGCAAATGTGTCTGAAAAAGTTGTTATATGGAACATTTCTTCCATTCATATTGAAAGGCTGCAACAAGGGATCAAGTTGCAAGGGTTACAGAAGCATATGAACTTGAGTGACGTAAACCACCATCACTGAGCATACAATATTGACGTTAAAAAACACAATACAGGTTGCTGTGGAATATGGGATCACAAACCATATACATCTCAGTGACTTCAGACAGGGGAGCCCACAAGAATTTTATGATCATCATAAGGAGTTTCTTTTAAAGTTTTTCAATTGTCAAATAATCTGCCACTATCTTACAATTTTTCTTCCTGAGCCAGTGCGTTCGTTGACTGCATTAACTTCTGTGTTTCCCTCTGAATCAGACAGTTCAACCACCTCTACTGTTGTACTAGAAACTTCTTCAGGATATAAATAATTTCAACAAGATGGTTCTATGAAGATTGTTGGATTGTCGGGCAATGTAGTCTGGTAGAAGTTTATCGATGTTTCAGAGGTGCTTGCTGTCTCCATTATCAGGTCCTGATGATGGAGGCAGTAAGCACCTCTGAAATGTCAGTCAACTTCTACCAGACTACACAGCGCAACAACAAAGAAGACAGTCATCTTCATACTCACTACCGTGATAACATCAAATCTAAGATAGTGCTATAAACCATACAGCCACGCAAATTTTGGACATGCTGCAACAATCTTTCCCGGGCATATAACTTACAGATGAACTGAATGTCTTTATTATTTTTCTTCTCCAGATGCCTTTTTGTGGATACTTCTAAACAGAACATTTTTCAGAATTTCATACCGAGATAAAAAGGATTTAGGGATACTATATACTTGGCCACACAGTATTTATGATTGGCCCGGGCCAAAACAAGAAATGATAAGTCAAATGCAGAGGTGATAAAAGTCAGAAGACCAGATACCAGGATGAATATGAACAACTTGGCTACAGGCCTTCGAGGTGGATGCATACAATTTTTGGTTTCATCCGAGGACTTACCCAAACTAAACGGGAAAAAACCTCAGTCAAATAGAGAGAATGAAATGCAACAATTCATAATGTCATTTGCTCAACTACACACACTCAACTCATAAATCCTTCTGAAAATTTTCTTCTAATTCAAAACATTTTACAGATAGAAAATTCTGAGCCCTGAAGTGCATACAACTATGGCAAAATAAATATTGTATAAACTTATACACAAAATAAAGTACTAATTCACAATTTCTTAACACAAGCTGGTTCGTAAATAACCTTCCATGTTGGAATTTTTGGGTTCTTATTCTTGTAAAAAGTTCCACATTTCTTTGCCTTAAACACTGTTACATCATCACTTTTGCAGCGTGGGAGAATTAAAAATAAATGCGATTTCAGTTAAAAATTCAGTACTATTATTTTCTATTAAACTGTTGTAATATTTCATATAAGATGCAAAAGTCAAGTTTTGCAAGTGAAATAAAATTTCTCATTTGACTACGAATTTAAAACAACTGCATATCTCAAAGTGAGGCTATATCAGCCATACCCCCTATGTTAAAACTGGAATACATCGCTGAAATTCCAGTGGATCTCAGGAAGACAAATTTAGCAAAGAAGAATAAATTGTTTCACTACTCTGTGCTTAATATCATTTGGAATGCTGATAAGACACAATGAACTGCATTTGAAGAATACAGACACAAATGTGCTGAACATGGATAGGCCATGTCCATCTCATGCATAAAATGTAATTCCACTTTTCAAATATTGACATTTGTACCGACCATGTTATAGTTATGAAAGAATCGTACATCCTACATTTTAGAAACAAATGCAATGTTTGAAAAGGGAAACTACCTTTACATTCAAATTTATTTTCTTCAGGAAGAACCAGCACAATTTCACATGACATTCAATTACTGTAACACATTCAATGCTAAAACTGAAGTTTTCCATTTATCAGATATGGTTTAATACTATCAACGTATAACTTAGCATACCACTGTTTACAATCTAGCCTTTAATTATGGCCTGCTTTTAAATGCCTAGCATTGAATGTGTTGAGGTTGTGTTATATACACCATGATTCTGTTTATTCTTACCGCACCAGACATACAGTGAAAATTCATTGACTGATTTTGAGGCTTAATCCACTATTTGCTAATACTGTACACAACTACATTAAAAGAATTCCCATAGCATTCTTATTGAAAATTCAAATCTACTGTTGCATAGCCAATAAAGAATGCTGCAGAGCAAAATAAGACCAATCTTTTAACAACCACAAGGTTCTGTATGAGCTTAGTGTAAGGCAGGACTTAAAATTTGTCTGCTAACTTCAATTTAGACACCCTCCCCATAACAATTCCACCAAACATATTAAATAGTATGCAGACATGACCTCCACTTTATGCAAAGAATGAATAAAAATCGAACAGATAATTAAAAACAATTGCATGATGATGGGAGTAAGTCCAATTCCAAAATATGTACAGTAAACATAGTTCAGACACAGTCTTGATAACTTAAAAGAATAGAAACAATAATCAAAGCAAATGGCTATTCCCACTTCACTAGCTTGGAATGAAAGTTCTGGATAAACATCGCCTTTATTTAATGAAACATGCACAAATTACAGCTGTGTTCCTCCATTTTTAAGTCATGTGATCAACAAGTATAAATACTATGTGAATGTCACTTCAATAAGAGAAGATAGCAAATTTACATTAGAATAGTTAATAGAAGACCACATTTTCTGGCTACAATGTCCTGAAAATGTACCAAACAACTAAGAAACAAGATTAAGTAAAGAAGGAAAAACATGCAAGTAACCTGACAGAAGCTAAATGTTCAAATTTTCTACAAGGAGAGGGATCTTCTCATTCAGTGATTGGTACTAACTGAACCCACTGCTGCATCACAAGTAAACTGCAATAATTTCTTTAAAAAAATCTGTGACTGCAAGACAATCAATCAACCAATGGCAAAGAAAGGACAGAGAAAGAGTGAAGTAAAGAAGAAAGATGGAAAAAGTGGGTTATGTTTATGTACACGGAGAAAGAAACTAGAATGACCACAAAACTGTTTCAAAAAACATAATGAAATATAGCTTTCAGAACAAATAAAATAAAACTTCTTTTGCATAAGAAGCAAGTAACATTCATATTGTTGAAGTGGACTACATGAAGTATAATGTCGCAGCTGCCCAATGGAATATGCTGGGCAAACAGGTAGAACCTTATACAATGAATTTAAAGAACATTAACAAGCCTCAAAAGCAAATAAACAGAATTCAGGATATGCACACGTGCTAGATACAGGTGACATATGGAACAATTGATACTATGGACTAGGATAGATAAGCTTTTGAATTATGTGGGAAAATATTATATTTATGAAATGAGCTTCAGCGTGCAGATCAATAAAAAGTATGAATTATAACTAAACCTCACATCTGATATTGTTTACAATCATAAAAATAAGATAGAGGGCAGCACATACACTTAAAATCCATAGGGAGCTGGTCATAACATTACTATAGTCAGTACACAGATTCAACATGACCACACATCAATATTTTACAAAAATTATATCAAAAAAAAGGTAGATAAAAATACAATCCAAGGAACATACATTACAGGAAAATGAAAGAAACAAGTAGCAAATAAATTTATCAGTTGTACAAAAGTTATTCAGTTTCCATTGAATGTTATGATCAACTAAAGAATATAACATGAAGAAACAGAAAACTAATATACAAGATAGATAACATATTATAAGAGCAATTAAGTATAAGTGTGACTGACAATCAGTATCAAACAAAAACAATATAGATGATAAGTATTTTTTCAAATATCTTGTGAAAATTCGCAATGCACACAGTATTTTTAATAATTTAGACAATAGCGGTGCATGCAAACAATGTTCTTTAATTTTAAATTTTAACATAAAAGTATATTTTGACTGGTTATGTAAATACTATAATAATACAAAGACAAACAGAGTAGTGAAAAATGCCTACATATGAAAGAATAAAAATTGGAAAGATTGCCACATTGTAAAACCGGCATCTGACGACTGGTATCGCTGTAATATTAATTTGAAAATATTGTTTGTGTTGACTGGCCTAAATATATTTATTCTTAATCTGAAAGAAGCTACAAGTATAAATTATTTGTTTAACTGGAAGAGCCAAATGGCTGGTTGGTGTTGATGGAACAAGTTGAAGGAACAATAAAAATTGTCACTAAGGACACCAGCAATTCCATCTACCAAGCTTCAATAGTAAACAGAACTCTACTCAAATTTACAACACGGCAGAGAAGTTGATAGTACAATAAGATTTAAAAGACAAACCAGCAGATTGCAATTAAACTGTCTCACTTACACCTTGACATCTAAAGAAATTTTCAGCCAAACAGAAAGAAAGTGAGGTCACTACAACTTTGCTGAATTCTATTACTGCATCAGGAATGAGAATTCCACCTACAATCATCAAATGTATAAGAATAAATGAATGGCCAAGAATCCCATGCCTTCACTAATGCACCAATCTCCAAACTTTTAAAGTGGTTTCAGCACTTCATCGAGTGCATATCCTTTCACAACATCTAATTCTGTCCATGTACTCATATGCTGGTCACACCACCCCCTAAAACCTCAGTGGCATCCATCTCGTGACATTTCTGACTCATACTACTCATCTGCAGCCACTGGATGTTGTGTCTACAGACCTCTGAAGGAAGGATCGAGAATAGGTGAATGAAAATGCTGGAGGGAAAGCTGATAAGTATCACTTCAATGGGATATTAAATGTGGTTTACCATGATGCATTCCAACAAACAACAGTGTCACAGCTTTGTGAAACTGGCTTGCTCATTTTCAAGCGAACACAATTTATCCTTCTTCTGTCAGTAAGAGGAAAGATCCAAATGACAATAAGGTTGAACCCACCTCAAGAGATGACAGAAACAAAAATGTCACCACTAAAGATGCCGAAGTTGCTTGTGTGCAAAATTTGGCATAGAATGCCTAGATCTCTGTAGTGTTGTATCATGCAAAATGTCAAAATGTTACAGATCAACTTCACTTCATGGGTAATGGGTGCAAAAATTTAAATAAGAACAAATGAATATAACATGTTTCAAAAGGACACTGACATTGAGCCTAATTATTTAAAAAAGTACAATAAAATATACTGTGTATTTAATCATGTAATCTTTACTTTAAATATTTTGTATTCATCAATAAAACTCATTTAAAGTATACAATTAAGATCTGTATTAAATAATTTATCTTATCATGGAAAAGGTTCTACACTATCACAGACCTGAAAGTCACAAAGTTACCTGATTCTGGGCAATAAAATATGTTTCCATCTTTTAATTTAACACAATTAAATTCCATGTTCTAAATAAATAAGTTGTACAGTAAAATTATGACTTATATGATTTAAATGGGGGGAAAAAAGTTATTAAAACTACGAGTACATCGTTGAAAATAAAAAAGTTTCATGTGAAGCAATACAGACAGTAACACTAAATTAAACAAATAGAAATGTCTGAATGGAGGCAACATTCATCAACTGCTATGACATGGAAGCATAAAAGATTTTTCCAGAATTTCATGTGTGCCTGAACTTTTCAATATAAAAGACTGTGAAGTGCAAGGATACTCAAGTTCAATGGAGGAGATTACAGAGACTCAAAAATATGGATGAGTGAATCATGTACAAATATAACACAACACAACATGAGAGAACTAGCACCTTATTTTGTAACATATTCCACCAAGGTAATTTAACACAATTGTCTGCGCTTCACAATTTCGGAATGTTTCTTAATATGGACACGCGAGACATACTTCCATCAATGAAAAATACAAACCTTCGTCTCTTTATAAATATACGAGCATAATGGCAAGATCTGACTCAAAGGGGCAAGATTACATACAGTACAATACATGAGAATATCATGTCATCTGATTTAATTTCTACCTTCTAAAACTGTTACTTTTAAGAATGCTAGGAGATTCAAGATAAGATTCGGAATAGACAGGTGGTCACAAGACACAAGTATCACACAATGTGAAAAATGAAAAACTACATTTAACAGAGTCCCAAGTAGCTGAATGACGGGGGGAAAAAGAAGAAAACATAACCCAGAAAACTAACTCCATGGAGCGTCCTTGAGATGCTAATATTCACTCAGGCAGTCAATACTCTGCCTTTTATAGAACCAAAAGGTTCATCATTGTACTCAAAAGAGTCAGCCATTTTTTAGGCATGATCTAGAACAGTATAATTACATGGAGTAACATCTGGAGTTTTCAGAGAACGCAAGAATATTTTTCCATATGGCAAAGAACACTTTGAGAGTCTTAATACAATATTTTACAGCTCAAGGAACTTCTACACAGTAAATGTCATGGATTTATGAACCTGCTGTTCTGCTTACTACCTGCCATGACAAAAGCCATTATCATGATTATCCAGTCATCACACTGATGGCACATAAACAACTATGAAGTAACATTCTCATGGTGCTAACTGGCAGTGCTTTCAGTTTTGTAGCTTACATCTCATTAAGGAATGTACCACAGTTGCTTTGGCCACCAGGTATTCAGATTATAAACAAGACATAACTGCATGTCATACAATTGTGCTGGCTTTCCCCATAAACAATACCTGTGAGGATATACTCATACCAAATGTTTATATGGAAAAATTTTCATTAATATGACAGTTTCTAAATTGAATGAACTTATGTGTAGGCCACCCTACCATACTAAGTATCAAGGGGGGAGGGGAGGGAAGAAAGAAGTTTCTCCCTTCAATTCTTCATTTGCACTTTGTACAGTGTTTTCGTAAGGTAAAAACTGGTGGTTTGAGTCACAGAGGCGTCCTCACAACACTACACATGTACACGCACACTCTTACTTGTTAGCTCACTCACTGGCACCAAATACTGATGTGACCTATTATCAATGAAATGGTACATACAGTGGACTGTATCTATCACTGGCTCACTGCCGGGGATTTCTTGTCTGAGTCCTGGCTGGAGGGTGTGTTGCCTTGGGGTGGTCCACCTACCCCCCCAGGACCCCGGTCTCCAACTGGCCCCCCCACACTGGGCCCCCCCACTGGCCCTCCACCCCCCCAAGAGTTGGGGCCACCTGTCATAGGTGAATCTGAGAAGCCATGGTTGTCATGGTCCAATGAATTGGCAGCATCATACTGGGTGTTCTCCAGCCTTGTGATGAGCCGTTCATCCTCGTCTCCAAACTCGCCTCCCATTAGCGACGGTTCACCTACCACCATCACATCCTGCCAGGGGGCACACAGAGCACATCTCAAAGGTTTCCCTGGTCCGATCTTGTCAACCACTCTTGCTAGTTATGAACAGTCACGGAAACAGGACCATGAAGGACATTTCCAAAGGAATTTTTATGTAATGGTAAGGACAAACCAAAGGGCACAGATACAAAACATGTACATGACATATACTGAAACAAATGCTGTGTAACCAACCCTAATCTATAAACATATTTGGCCTCTTTCAATAACCAGTTGGAGCTTAAGAAAAGATGAGGCATTATGATGGATGTTAAAGATGATAAGCTCATATTAAAAGCTAGTCAAAGAACTGTGCATCCAGAATCATTATTAACTAAAACAATTGATAAAATAATTAATACACAATTAATACTAAAATTATACAATCACTAAAACCTGTCTGTATACAGGTTACCAACAACCAGTATGAAGTGAAATCCCCTCAAATTTCCTTTTAAATCACTTAAAATATTATTTTGTTGCTAAACACATTACAGAATGTTTCATACAATACATATTATCTTCAGAGATGACTGGCCTGTGCAAGATTATAAATACGAGAAACTTTAGGAAAATCATTATATCCACTGTGCAAAACTGTTATATGGAACTATTCACACAAAAACCTTTCATTACTGCATCATTAGCACTACTTGGAAACTCATATATAGAGTTAATGACACAGGCAAGGTTAAAGCACTTTCATACTGACTGGCTCAACCACACATTAACTAAGCAACTGACAATATACACTAGTAAAATCCAAAGGGTTTGTTACGTTAACATTTATATATGACCTTTCAGTATCTGAACTTCAGCACTTTCATATGTTACCACAAGATAAAGCATTTTAACCCTCTGACAACAAAAATACACAGCAACAAGATTGGAATAGTGTACTCTGCTGAGTACACAAAAGTATGTATGCGATATCAAACGGTTCATATTGCCACTATATATACGAGGGTCGCTCATTAAATAATGCCCCACATTTTTTTTCTCAGCCAATAATGAAGATAGAAAAGTGTACTTTTACATGCTTGAGATTTGATGTTTCTCGCGTTCGTGTACGGAGTTTCAAATGATTCCAACCAATGGCGGAGCTGTAGTGAACTGTTAAAATGGCGTCTGTGAACGACTCTCGTTACAAGCAACGAGCTGTAATTGAATTCCTTGTTGCTGAAAAAGAAACGGTGGTGAACATTCATAAACGTTTGTGTGCTGTGTATGGAAGCTGTGCAGTCGATAGGAGCCCCGTTGGTCGCTGGGCTAAGAGAGTTAAAGCTTCAGGAAGTGAAGAAACCGAGCTCCGTGATCTGCCGCGCTC